AACTTCACCTGGTGTCGAAACCACTCATTAAAAAAGGCTGGTGGCGTGAGGCGTCACCCGCTGTAACTTTGATTTACACGCCGCGGCGGCTGCTAGTTCCTGTCAAAGAACTGGAAATGCAGGGTGGAGGTGCCGGCGCGGGGATCGCCGTACCCGAGCGGCCAAAGGCTCGCGACTGACGCCCGCCTCTGCCACCCCCGAGCCCGGAAAGACGGGTCACGGATAGCTCTGAAAATCCGGACAGGAAAGGGAGCAGGCCGAGCACAGCGGATGTTTGGAAAGCATTGGAGGTTGCCTCTGCCCTGCCTCGCCTTTTGTCATCCCCTGGAGTCTCCAAACCCCAAAGCCAAACCTCTTGCAATCAAGTTGATTCTGGCTTATAAGGGACCCCACGCTGCAGAGTAGAACCGACCCAGACGGCTCTCTTGCCTGTGATCTTTATGGAAACAGGTCACCAGCAGGGCTTTTTCTTCCGTGGTGGCACTGTGTGGGTCGGAAATGGCAATGTTTAGGTTAGCAGTCAGTTGCACCCCACAGACTCAGAGGGTCTCTCAAGAGGGAGGACGTTGGAAAATCAGAAGAGGCATGCTCTCCACCCTCCCACAAAGAGCTGGACACAGTCTTGTGAGGCCATTTGAAACCAGATACTCATTTTCTTTTAGATAAAACCTATGTGATTGTTCCCTTAAAGACCTGGTAACCACATCAGGAGAGATACAACCCAGAACTCACTGCCCTCCGGTTGATTACAGCTCAGAGCAACCTCGCGAGCCAGGGTAGAAGTGCCCTTGTGGGTTTCTGAGATTATATATTTTTTAAAATGGGAATACAAAGCCTGGTTTTTTTCCCCATGGAGCAGCTGGTGGTTTTGAACAGCGTACCTTGTGGGTAGTAGCCCAACATATCCACTACACAACTAAGGCTCCTTCAGGAGCTATAAAGCAAGCAAAATAACCAGTGCGGCAAGCAAAATAACCAGTGCGGCAAGCAAAATAACCAGTGCGACGGCTGTATCTCCAAAGAATGATGGTGGGAGTGATGGGGTAAGGTGGAGCGGGAGAGACCATAGAAGTACTGATTCAAGAAATGACCTTGGCTGGCTACCAGACCCCTTAGATCAGATGAGGAAGGTTCCCAACCTTCCTAATGCCTCGGCCCTGTAACACAGTTCCTCATGTTGTGTGGTGAGCCCCAACCATAAAATTATTTTCATTGCTACTTTTTGCTACTGTTATGAATCAGGTGACCACTGTGAAAGGGTCATTTGGCCTCCAAAGCGGTCACGACCCACAGGTTGAGAAGCGCTGACTTAGGTGCTGCTCCTCTGATGGTTGAAAGGGTGCTAGGAACCAGAGAACAGAAGGCCCGCTTGACTCAGACAGTGATGGGGAGGGGGGGGGAATTGGCTTTTAGAGTCACGCTAACGTGGTTCTGCCTTGCAAGTCTCTGTCTCTGTGAGCCTCAGTTTTCTTCTTTCAAATGGGGTGACTCCACTCCCTGGGCTGTTAGCTACAGGGTCTGGAGGACAAAACCACCAGCTGCTCCTTGTGAGGATGATGAGGCTTTGTACTCCCGTCAAGAGTGACCGTCTCGGAATCCCACAGGGCAGTGCCACCCTGTCCTGGACGGTGCTTGTGAGTTGGGGTGGACTCGAGGCTGTGAGTGATACTCTCTCCATAGAGTCCAAGTTGACCCTGTGACTCTTGAAAGGTGCTTCAGGTTGAATACGTAGCTAGGCCTCGTCGTACTTTGTGGGGTTTTTTTAGGAGCATCTCTAAAACCCTGGCCATTGTCATCATGAACTTTGTCCCTTGTCTTTGTCGGAGACAGAATCCAAGGTTGGGGAGACTGTGGGTTTGACCTCATTTATCAGCCCTGTGACTGAAGGTGACCTGAGTGGTGGGTGTGTGTTTGATCAGGACTTTGTTGCAATGACTCCTACTTGATGGGTGGCTTTTCCCCAGGGCCAGGGCACAGCCTGACCTGGAGGTTTTCTTCCCTACAGAATAATGTCAAGAGCCGGGTGGGGGGTGAGGGTGCCTCTTGGAGGAACCAGGACACTCAAACAAAAAGACTGTGCTCCCAGGAATCATTTCCTTGGAATGTGGAACACATTGTCTCATAAAAACAATGTGATTAGGTTTACCAAGCATATTATTTAGCATCTTCCTTAAAGCAGCAATTTGCTAATGGCAGGGGCCTCAATTCTGGGAGTGGCTTGCAGGATAGGTGGGAGGAGGAAGAGAATTTCTGGTCTCTTTCTTGGGCCCTGGCTTGAGTTTTGACAGAGATTTGCCTTGGTCTTATTAATGATTCTCTATCTTTCTCCTTAGGGGCCCGGTGGTGTAGTGGTTTTGCGTTGGGCCCCTAACCACAAGGTCAGCAGTTCAAAACTACCAGCTGCTTCTCGGGAGGGAGATGAGCCTTTCTATTCATGTAGAGTTACAGGCTCAGAAAGTTCTGCCTTTCCCTATAGGGTCCCTCTGAGTGAGTCAGCAGTGAGGCGTCAACCTTCTCCTTGGGCTCTAGGTCTCGTGGCATTTCTGGAAGCCTCTTTGGGTAGATTTTATTCCCCCAAATGTCACATTCTAGAACCTTCTAACTCTCTGTCCCCTTATCTCCATGCAGCTGTAAAGTCAGTGGGATTTCAGGAAGAAGGCAGGAGAACTACATTGTTCATTACTCTTCCTGAAGCCTGGATTTTTTTTTTTATATCCACTTTTAAAAAAATCATTTTATTAGGGGCTCACAATCCATACACACATCAATTGTGTAAAGCACATTTGTACATTCATTGCCCTC